GGGAAGAAAGTGCTAATGGGCAATCTGGTGTTTATTTTGAAACTGCTAACAATGATTTTTCTCTGGTAAAAGGCAGTGTCTGGGCTCACGGCTGACTGGGCTTTGAGCATGGGCTCTAACAGATGGTGCGGAGCTCGAGGTGCGGGCTCGGCCCTCCGCTCCCGGCGCCCGCCGGGCTGGGGGAGCGCGGGGCTCCGAGCAGCCTCTGCTCCTGCTTCCCTGCCTCTCCTCCTGCTTCCCTGCCTGCTTCCCTGCCTGCTTCCCTGCCTCCCTGCCTGCTTCCCTGCCTCCCTGCCTGCTTCCCTGCCTCCCTGCCTGCTTCCCTGCCTCCCTGCCTCCCTGCCTCTCCTGCTGCCTCCCTGCCTCTCCTGCTGCCTCCCTGCTTCCTCCGCTCCCGCGGAGCGCACGCCGGGCCCGGGGCTGTTCTTGGGGGCCGGGGTCCGAGCCGAGCCCCCGCCCCGCGCCCCCCGGGCCCCGCTGCGCTGCCCCAGCCCCGCGCAGCCCCGCGGAGCCGGGCGGAGGGCCCGGGGGGTGCCCACCTCCAGGTATTGTTTTGCAAACACAGGGGGTCATAGATGACAGCGCAGACATAACAAGGCGGCTGTGGCCGCGAGTGTTTGTTGTCGCAGCGTGCCATATAACTTCTGGTGATTGTTACTTTTCCTCTGATGAAACCACGTATTTATAAGTGATTTATTTTTTATTTTGTAGCACAAACAGAAATCCATAAACTGTCGGTTCAGCGCCATTGACTCTTTGATCAGTTACTGGGCTATTTTTTTTCCTCTCCCGTCAGCGAGGAGAGATTAAAAGCCTTTATTTTCAGCCCTTTTTCTGCCGCAAAGGTACGAGCCGAAATGGACAATAAAAATGCACTTCAAATGCATCCTCTCCGCTCCTTTATTCGGCGCTAACGAAACTTATAGCTGCCTATGTCAGCCTCTTAATTACACCACTACAGCGATTTCCGAAAACATTTAGCTGCTGTATACAAAGGAAATAAACCCACATTGTCAACTCGAGAGCGCTCCGGAGTTTAAAAGGCTGCTCTGTAACCCAGCGAAATAATTATTGAAGGGTACGACGCCTCCGTCTTTGTCAGAGTAATTGTACTTGGCCTGTCAGCTCTGCTTTTCTCCGGGAGGCAATCCCACTCTTTTACTGCTGGAGGCTTTTACGCCCAAGCCGGCTTTGGGCAGCACGAGCAGAAAGTTTCTGCGGGCCGGCAGCGCGGCCGTGCGCGCAGCTTGCGCGGGGCCCACCCTGACCCGGGGGACTCTGCTGCCCGTGCCTCGGGGGCTGCAGAGCTCCCAAAAATAATGGATGTGAGCAGGCTGGCCTCGGCCGGCAGCGCTGCTCCAGCCCGGCACATTGGGGGAATGGTTTTAATTTCCATCGCTGGGATCTGATTTCCAGAACACTGGAAATTATTCCCCATTCTCACCTTCCTCCCTATTCCCCCAAAAGATTTTTAGCAAATAGTAATTACAAAAAATAAAAATAAAAATAAAAATAAAGTCGTGAAATGTCTCTCCGGAAAAAAAAAAATTAAAATAATGAAAAAAGAAATAAAGTTGATTAAATCCCAAGCTCTGTATCTATAATTGCTGTGGTGCAACGCTGATAACACGTAGTTATCATCGGAAAAGTTGACCAAGACAGGTTAAATAATTTAATAAGGAACTGCTTGTAATTATGTTATTTACAAGGTATGACAGAGGTTTGAGGAAGAAACAGAAGCTGATCTCAGGGAAATGGACGGGTTTGGGTGACCCCTGGAGCATGGAGTTTGAATTATGGAGATGGGGGGCTGAGAGGTGAATATGGACTAGAGGAGAACAAGATGACTTTTCACCTCAGCACATTTAACTTTTAAATCCAAATAAACGTCTCGCCTTACTGGATGGTCGCGGTATAAAAGAAAAAGGACTAATCCCGGCCAGTTTCTGAGTGTGGGGAAAGGGCTGCCCTTTCCTCACCGAGGAAAAATATCGCCAAAAATAAAAAAATTTAAAAAAAAGTTACAGAGAGGGAAAAGTGCATTTTAAAATAAATCTGGGTAACTCGGTGGGATTTTTTTTTTCCCTTTCCTTTCTCCCTCGCTAAATTAATTATATCAAACATCTGTTCCCATGACGTTGTCCTCCATGCCACACACACCACTGAATGATCTCAACGCTGCCTCGAAAAGCAACAGCACACCGCTTTCTCTTTCCCAAATATCCTCCGGTAATGGGGATCTCAGGCAGCAGCTCCCTGATTTACCCGCTCCGCTCAATTAAAAGTAGCCGCGCTTTGCTCGCCCCCCGCCCTTCCCAGCACGGGCACAGCACAAACTTGGGAAAGCGGAAACTTTCTCACCTGTTTGGTCATGGAGTCTATTAGCCGAACGTACAGGTCCTGCTCTGTCCTGACGCCTGCCGAGGCAAAGCACAGACAAAATTCCGATCAGGATTTCGGGAGCGAACCCCCCCCAGTCCCACAAGGAAAGGATGAGGTCAGGCAATTAACCGCAGCGGGCAGGGATCGGCCCCGCGCCGGCTGCAGGGAAAAATTCAAAATTAAAAAAAACCCCAAAAACAATACTGATAAAAATTAGCCAGGAATGGGCCGCTGAGGGAGCTGTGCTGAGCCCGGGGGCCGGGACCGAGCCAGGGCCCCCGGCTGCGGCCCCGGGGAACGCGCGGGACCCCGGGCGCGGGCGCGGAGCGGCCCCCGCGGGTTTTCCGCGCCCGAGGAGCGGCTCCGCCGGGCCGGGGCTCCGCTCTGCGCACTCACCCCATCCCGAGAATCACCAGCAATCCCCAAACTCAAAAAAAAAGTGCCTCAAAAGTGCCGCTGTGGCCGAGCAGCCATCGATCCCCTTTTTTACTTTCCACTTCAAGCCCAACCGGTTAATCATGTGAAGTACCATTGACTTATCGATCCTTTATGTTTTGTTTTCCTTATATGCCAAGGAAAGAGCCGTGTTTACACGCGTGTAATTTTAATCTCGAAATCTTTCTACCCTTTATCCCCCTGCTCCCCCCCAAAAAAGGCCTCGGCAGGAAAAATCAGACTTTTTTGCGGCACACAGACGCTCAAAAACGAGAGAACGACAACTTACCATTGCTATACAGTAACTGAAGTTTATAATGAATCCCATTGTTAGTTTTTTCATTGTTTGGCTCCTGCAAGTAACGATAAATAATTACATTTAGCATGAAAAATATCGCCCTCCTCCTGCTGCCCATTTTTCTCGTCCCTGAAGCGGCTCGGAATTAACAGTTTGCAGAAATTCAGCCCACGGTCACCTTTCTTTTTTTTTTTTTTCTTTTTTTTTTTTTTTTTTTCTCCTGGTGTGGAGCGCTGATGATGTCATTAGCTCGGTGCAAATATGTCATGTTTTGCCGTTTTTCCCGGTGTTTCAAATAAGTCGGGGGCCGCGGCGCTAAGTTTGTAACCCCGGGGTTTATTCGGAGCGGCCGTGAGACCGGGGGGGAGCCGCACGTGGCGTGGGCGCCGCTGGAGTGCCGGGAGAGCTGCCGTGCTGGGAATGAGCTCCGCTCCACTCAATTACGCTTAAAAAATTGTAAAAAAAACCCCAAAAACCAAAAAAAAAAATTGAGAAAACTGGCAGACTTACTTTCTCTTTCTCCACAAAGTCCACAAAAGCTGTTCTCTCAATCTCCACCGGCTGTCCCTGCCTGTCGTACAGAGCTAAGACGAAGTGGAAAAAATTGGATTTTCTGAGATTGGAAGGCGGCTGTTTCTCGAAATGTGCCCGAGCCAGCCCCACGCCGCTGCGGGAGAAAACAAGACAAGGCGTGGGTGAGAGCGGCGGGAAGGGGCGCGCAGGCTCCGCGGCCGCGGGGGGATGCGGGGGGATGCGGGGAGCGCGGAGCGGCGCGGAGCGGGGAGGCTGTAACTGATACGGGGCGGGCGGGGGGGGGAGTTAAGGGGGGGGGGATTTACGGCCGGGATGAGAAATACAGGAGGAGAAAACCGCCGGGAGAGGATTTGGCAGACGTACCTTTGGGCGGCCGTGTTAGCATCCACTACCCCAGCAGTATGCATCCATGAGCGGACGGGGTTCATCCCACTGCCCAGCGGTTCTTCTTTCATGGTCGTCCCACCTCTTGGTATATTTTCCTGAATCCCAAACATTAAAACAAATTTGGGCAAAACCAGCTCCTAACCAAAAGGGGTTAAAATTGAGGGAAATGTCAGATACGGGGTGGGTTGGTTGTTGCTTGATTTTCTCTCTCTCTCTCTCTCTCCTTGGCGACTGGAATATAAGAGATGACTTTACTCCCTGTGATCAGTAGGAGAAAAGCCCAGTTCAAGTCTTGCTTCCTTCTTCAATCTGTCCTGTATTGGCACGACATAAACAATTTACTGAGTACTTCTGTGCGGCGAGTTGGATGGCGTTCCAGTTTGGTGGTTAAAAAAAAAAAAAAAAAAAAAGAAAAAAAAAAAAAGAAGGAAAAAGTATAACTGCAGCCGGCGACACTGCGAGGTGGCTTTTTTTTTTAAGGGGGGAGGGGGGGAAAAAAGAATAAATATTTTTGTTGTTGTTGTTTGCAGACGCGCTCAACGTGGTGTCATCCTAGTAAAAACCGGCTCGGCAAAAAAAAAAAAGCTTCAGGACACTGCTGAATCGACCACTTTCTGGCAAGGCTCTCCTGCTCCAAAAGACAAATAAACGGGGGGGAAAAAAAAAAAAAAAATCCTGATTACCGCGGAGGTGTTGCCGGGCACACGGGAGAACGGGGCGCGGGCCCGTGGCGGCTCGCGGAATGGACGGAGGCGCGCAGAGCCCGGCCCTCCCTCCCCGAGGAGCGCGCCCCTTCCCCGGGAGCCGGGCCCCCGCCGCCGCGGGAGACGTGGCGTCATCCGTGACGTGGCCCGGGGGGCGTGGCCACGCCCATATATGGAACGCGGGGTCCGGCGGCGCGCCCGGCCCCGGCCCCGGCCCCCCCCACCCACCCCACCGGCCACGGCGGTGACAGCGACAGCGACAGCGACAGCGACATGGGCCCGGCTCGGCCCCCGAGGGGCGGCGGCCCCGCGCGGCGCTGACCCGCGTGGAGGGGTCGCGGCGGGGCTCGGGCCGGACAAAGCGGGGGATGCGGGTGCGCCCCCGCGCTATAAATGCGGAGCGGACACGGCCGGGGATACCTGTGCCTGACACTCGCTGTGCGCACGCAGAGCCAGCCCCGGCTCTGGGTCCGCCCTGGCCACCCGTGGTTGTGTATCTCCATAGAAATATAGATTTCCATCTCTTGTTATGTATTTATATACATTTTTGTATGTGTATATATATTTATGTATTGATATATATTGATTTTTAAATATATTGATTTTTAAATATATTGATATTCTTATATATACTGATATTCTTACATATACCGATATTCTTACATATACCGATATTCTTACATATACTGATATTCTTATATATACTGATATTCTTACATATACTGCTATTTTATACATATTGATATATTTTTTATATATTTACATGTCGTATCTATATATCTTCTCCTCAAGTGATGAGCCTTTTCCGCCCAGTGTGGGCTACGACTTCCTTGTACTATTTTTTTTTTTTAATAATCTCTTTTTTATTTTTTGGTGTTTATTTTTGTGAATTTCCCACGTCCCCGCGTTAATATCTCCCGAACTCGGGGAAAATCGGCGTTCATATCTGAATGAATGGGTGAAAATCGAAAGTCCGATTTGCGTTATCAGGATCCCCTTTCTCCAAGGGGTGAGGGAAAAGAGGGCAAAAAAAAAAAAAAAAAAGGATGTGTTAGAAAGCAATCTATTTTGCTGGTGTTGGGGGTTAATGACTATTGCCAAAGATAAGTGAATTATCAAAGCTGTTGCTCTACCCGATCTCAAAATCCATTACATTGCTGGCCGTCTAATTAAATACGTAAGTATAATAAAATCATATTTTATGACTATTTGAGGGTAATGAGATTAGTCTTTAGAAGCGATCGCCACATATTAAAGATGCCACTGTCTATAGAATGTTAATAACCTTAAATCAAAGTGTATGGAAACTATTCATGAGAAATTGAAAGAAAATTCCTGTATTCATAATCAGCCCGGAGCTTTTGAGGTACAGTAGAACAGATTACAAACCCAAACACTTTTATCGCGCAGAGAGAGATACCAAAGTTCCCAAACAATGCCATGCTCGCGGTGGCATTTGGTGGCACGGACACGTTTGGGGACCTGGAGCGGGCGCCGGGGGCTGCGGGTGCCCCCAGCCCGCAAAAAGCTCCCTCCTAAAAATAAGGTAAAAAACGCCCAACGCCGCTATTATTGCAAGATTTTTCCTCAAATGAACAACGCCGAACTTGGTGCTTCCCCTCCGCTAACGAAAGCTTAAAATCATTTACAGTATCTTTAATTCAGATTACACGCGCCAAGGCGATTTAAATCTGATTACCAAATTAGAAGGTTTTAAAACAAATCCTTTTAAATCTGATACTGTTGACTAAGGAGGGGAGAAAAAAAAAAAGTTCCATAAGCCCATCACATAAGGTAACGATCCTGCCCCAGAAAGAAAGGGAGTTTTAAACCTTTTTGACAACAAATGCAGCTGCCCCACTATTTTGGACGATATTAAGCGAAAATGAATGCAAATCTGTGTTCAGAAGCCATCTGGCCAGGAATGGGGGAATCAGCTGCTCCTCACAACAGGCTCTGAGCCTGAATCTATTTCAGCTCATTTTCTAGATCATCTGGTCCTGCACCCAAAGCGTGGAAAATACGGTCTTTATCATTCACCAACTTTATCTTTTTTTTTTTTTCCTTTTTTTTTTTTGTGTGTGTCACTCTGGCTGCCTGGAGCTGCCGGCGGCCGGGAGCCCGCCCGGGCTCTGCTGCTGCTGCTGCTGCTGCTGCCCGCACCGCCCCGCACCGCTCGCAGGCCGGCATCCCGCGGGGCGCCCGCCCCCGGCAGCTCCTGGCGGCTCCGGCAAGGAGGGAAGGAGGGAAGGAGGGAGGGAAGCGGCGGCCGGGCCCCCACCCCGGTCCCGAGGCCGGTGCGGGCAGCGGGAGCGCGGCCCCGCTCTCCGCGCACCTTGCGCCGGGCGGGCAGGGGGGTGTGCGCGGCTGCGGGGGGCGGCCCGAGCCTTGCCGGCTCCGCGGCCCTCCTCCTCCTCCTCCTTTTCCACCTCCTCCTCCTCCTCCTCCTCCTCCTCCTCCTCCGGCGCCAAGTCTCCCTTTTGTGTGAATTTACGGGGTGAGGCTTCAGTGATCCCCCCGCAAATTTGCATTTAAATAGCGACATCAAGCGATGCGCGTGCCACACACCAGCGGGCTCCCAGATGTCACGGCGGAGCCGCTCAGATGGCCGCAGCCCAGCTGTCCCCCGGCCCGGCCCCGCTCCGCGCCCCCGCACCGCCCCGCAGCGCGTCCTCCTGCCCCGCACGGCGGCCGGACACGGAGCCCCGCGCTGTGCCGGCCTTAAAACCGATCCCCTGCTTCCCACCGCCCTGAGAGTATTCCCCGAAACTTTATTATTTTATTTATTCCCCCTCGGGACAATCCCCTCGGGACTATTATCTCAATCATTTCGCTTTTTTTTTTTTTTCCTTATTATTATTTCTTGTTTATTTCTCATTTCACGGTTTAAATCACCCAAGTTGGAGAGCGTCATTTTGGTAATTTCGCTGTTTCCTCGGCCGCGGGCCGGCCCCGAGCTGCCCAGCTCCGCGCTTCCCACCGCACAAACTTTCCCAGCGGGAAGTTGCGCCGGGAGCGGGGAGCGGCGGCCCCGGCCCCGCTCTCGGGGGCCTCGGCCGGGTCCCCGCAGCTCGCCAAGCTCCATATTTCAATTTTTATTGTTGGAAGGCGCCTTCCTTACCAACGAGCTGGGTTACACCGGGCGTAATTTATGCCCGGTGTAACCGAAGCAAATCTCTACAAACTCCCGTGCTGCAGGAGGGAGAAATTGGTCTTTTCGGGCAAACTGGTATTTTGGTGTGTTTTCAGGTACGGCAGCGCTTCGGCCGCCGCTTCAGGCCGTTCCTTGCCGGGCAGACGCTGCCCAACGCGGGGGCGCAGCGCCGCGGGACCCGGCCCTTGCGCGGGGGGTCGCGCATCCTTGGCCCGGGCCAGAGGCCGAACGCGGCCCAGCAGCGGAGCGGGGCCGAGCCGGGCGGGGCCGCTGCTGCTTTGGGGCTCCCCGGCCCCGCCGCCAGCCCGGGCCCCCAGCGCCCCGCCAGGGCAGGGGGTGCGGGAAGGGCCGGAACCCCCGCGCCGCCCGGCCCTCGCCTTTCGGGACCGATTCACCCGCGCCGGGCTCGTTTCAGAGCTGGATCCGCATTCCTGAGCATCCCGGGCCCGCTGCACGGCGCACGGGGCCGGCGCTGCGGTTCGGCCGCCCCGGGGGCGCAGCCGAGCCCGGGCATGGCCGGGGGGCCGAGAGGACCCAGGGCCACCAGGCACGGCCAGAGGCAGGGACAGGGACAGGGACAGGGGCAGGGACAGGGACAGGAACAGGGACAGGCACAGGCACAGGGACAGGGACAACCTCCCCGCGCCCTGCCCCGAGCCCGCGGAGCTGCTGCCCGCCCTGCGGAGCCTGCGCGGGGCGCGGAGCAGCTCGGCCCCCCGGCCATGCCCAGGCCCGGCTGCGCGGCCGCCCAGCGGGTCCGGCTCGGGGTCACGCAGCTCCCTGAGGGTGCAGGGCTGTTTTAGCCGAACTGGCTCTCGGCCCTGCGCTCCCCCCGGCGCGCTCCCGCGGCTCTGCGCCCCGATGTTGTTACATCAAAATTAGTTATTAAAAAAAAAAAAAAAAAAAAAAAGGAAAAAATAAAAAGAAAAATAAAAAGGCTTAAACTTCCGCCGTGCCCGAGCGCCAACCGTGTTAGCCGTGCGCCCAACGGGAGCTTTTCCCCGGTAAAAAGTCCCCGCGGGCGCTGCCCGGCTCCCGGCGGCCCGAGGGCGCGGCGCGGGCGCTGCCATCCCGGTCCCCGCGGGATGCGGGGCCGCGGCCCGGGGGTGCTGCGGGGCAGCCGCGGCTCTGCCCCCCGGGACCATCCCGGGAAGGGGCTCGGGGCGGCCGGAGCCGCGCGGGCGGAGCAGCGGCCGCCCCCGCGGAAGAGCGCGGGCGCGCAGCCGGGGCCGCGGGGAGCTGGCGGCCGGAC